TGTGGGGGAGTACTGTGGGGAGAGTACTGTGGGAAGGGTGGTTCCCAGAGGCCTCTGTCCAGAGCTGACACTAGCCCTAGACCAGCAAGGTGCCCAGCAGGGGGCACCCAGAGCTGACTCAGGGTGCTGAGGGCCAGAGTTCTGCACATGGTACATCCTCGGCCTTGCTTCTCAAATCAGTGTGAGGGGGAGTACCCCTGGCCTGCACTGGGGGGCGGCTGAAGCCACAAGGGTAACATGGTACAACCTTCTGGAGAGTCTGTTATTCAGGGATTTGAGGGAAAATTATGATGGGTGTGGAGATAAATAATGTATTCTGGACTAGGATGCAGAATCCTCACAAAATTTTAAGAAAAACCTAAGACTTCAAAGATATTTCCTGCTTCAAGTGAGTGCAGGCCATTTCCCAAGGCTGTAACGTGGACTAGAGTTAGCCTGAGAGACAGGGTCCTCACACCCGCAGGATGCTCAGAGGCCCAGTCCCAAGAGCGGGGAGGAGGACTCTGTAGTTCTCTGTAGAAACCGTGGCTCAAAGAGACTTACACATTCCGAGGCACACGGCTAAGGGGCAGATGTCTCTCCACATTGAATTCAGGGCTCGGATCCCCTGCCTACCTCTGTTTGCCTCATTTTAAAAAAAGTCAGCAAAGTGTAAAACAGGAGTTTAAATCTGTCACTGGGAGAAAAAGAAGGAAAAACTTAAACTAAGGATAATTAGCTGACTATGAAATCAGGGATCTAACCTAACATTCAGATGGGTGGTATGACAGGTGCCCTTCCCGTGTGACCTTGAGCAGTCAATCATCGAATGCTCTCTAGCTCCCTGTTTCTTAATCTGTGAGGTGAGAAGTATTAATTTCCCCTACTTCACAGAAAAGAATGGAAAAGAGTCAGAAGTCCTTCTTCCAGGGCGCCATAGTGTGTGGTGGGAAGTGGAATGTGAACTGGGGGCGCTTCTGGCCCCTTTGCTGCTTGAGGGGGTGGCTCAGAGTTGCTAGACTGGCTTCCTCCTTCCTCTCCCTGCAGGTGAACGTGACGCTGTTGCTCACCACTCTTCTGACGTTCGTCCACCCCTTCCTGGTGTACCGGGAGTGCCACTCCTGGAAGGAAGACCCCTCTGAACCATGAGCTCAGAATCCCTCCCTGGATGCTTCTCATTATTGTTCCCTGCCTTTGAGCACCCGTGCCCATGGACTTTGTCTACCCAGGTTACTTGTATTAAGTAGTCATTATTTTTTTTCTAAAGAGAGAGAGAGAGAGAGAGAGAGAGAGATATGTTTAACTGCTCACCAGGTTTCTGATCAGCAAGAAGGGAATCTCAGTTGCCTACAAACCCAAGGCAAAGGCTTGTGGATCTTCTCCTTGGTTCCAAAGCAGGAAGTGACTCTCTACATGACTCTGGCAGGCCCTTGAGAGCAAGAGAGGTGATATGGAGGACGAGCTGTGTCCCCTGCTTCTTTAGGCCACTCTGGCCCGGAAGCTCACATGTGCTGGAACCTGTGCTGCCAGGTACATTTCTAGGTGAAGTGTGAGGTCATCATGGCCTACTGCCTGGCGTTTAGAGGTAGACCTAGCAGCAGAACTAGCTTTCCCTCTGAAGCACATCTTGGTTGGAGAACTTTCTATGAGCTTCAGGAGAAAGAGGAGCAGACAGAGGCCCCTGGTGCCGGATGAGCTTGGGTGCCCTGTTTTGGTCTGAGCATCACTTTTCCCGTGTGTAAAATGAGAGAGTCCCAGGTTCTTTCTGGAGCTAATGTCCTGGAAAGTCTTAGGAACAGTGACAGGGAGTCCACCTGCCCAAGGACCTTAGGAACCAGCTGACCCACTTGCCAGAAGAAAGTCTGATGAACCCTCCTGGGGATATTTTCCTCCTCAGGAAGGGGGATAGTTATTTACTTTCTGGCATTTTATAAAACATTTTTATATGGGATAATTTTGTATAAAAATAAAGACTCTGTGTCTAAGACCATTGCTATTTCTACTTCTCTGGGCTTGGGACTGGTGTGTGTGTGTATTTGTATGTATATTTGTGTGTGCATGCACGCACGCATGAGAGTTTGCATGTACGTGTACACATGGGAGTTTGTGTGCGTGCGTGCACACACATGTGTTCCTGAGGGGGCTCCACCCTGGAAGACTGTGTGAGTGGAGGTGGCGGATCTGGCTGCACATCTTCATATAGCAGCTTGTCACTGAGGTGGGACAGGAGCCCTCAGACTGGGACCCACCCCTGGTCTGTTCTGGGACATGAACTCAGAGCCTCCCGCCTCATCCTCCCTATATCCTTCCACACCACACAGCTAGCTAAAAGCATTAGTTGGAAAGAGAAGTTC